TCGAGAAGAAAAAGATAGTAACGGCATTTCTTTCGATTTAAATACAAAACTTTTGGATTATTTTAAACATAACCAACGAGATAGTAATGCTCAAAAGTATTATTATTCAGATATACCAGAGCATTATACATGGGTAACAAAATCTCTTGAATGGAAACAAAGAATTCGTGAAGAAAAAGTATTGGGAAGAATGTATTCAGTTGATTTGTATTCAGTTTGAGAACTGTTAATGGAGTTGTTTATGAATCTTTTACAACTGCTTGTTTGGCATTAGGACTTGTAGAAGATGATAGTGAGTGGATTAGGACAATCGAAGAAGCTGCATTATGGATGATACCTTATTCACTTCGCCAATTATTTACAAGAATTTTAATTCAATATCATTCTGTACATCTGGATAAACTATATATGGGAACAATTTAAGGGTCAAATGTCAGAAGATTATTAAAAAATAACAAAGGGCTTGTAGAAATATTAAAACAATGTTATTTAACGAAGGATATAATTTAACTGACTTTCAGGGGTTATTAGATATACAAGATAAAATTTTTACTGAACAAGTTAATGATATAAATATTGCAGAACATATTAACATAGGAGAACATAATTATGCTAAATTAAATGTAAAACAAAAACATGTAGTTGATTATGTACTTGATGCCCTAAAGGATTCTTCTTTTGATGGTTCTATGGCAATTGTTAAGAAGTAAAGAAATAAATGTTTGCAACATGGCATTTACAGGTATGACTACGACTCTGCTTCCTAATGAAAAAACTGTTCATAAAGTTTTAGGCTTACCCGTTCCATTATACAGTGATTCATCTTTAAACATTAAAGTTTAATCTTTAGAAGGCCTCTTTTTAAAAAATATAGATGTTTTTATTTGGGATGAAGCACCAATGGCTCCAAAATATGCTTTAGAAATTATGGATTATCTATTCCAACGAACCTTTTGGTGGTAAAATTGTAATTCTAGGAGGAGATTTTCGACAAACTTTACCAATTAAAGAACGGGGTACTAAATCAGAAATAGTAAATTTATCAATAAAAAATAGTAAACTATAGAAATATTTAAAAAAATACACATTAACAGATAATATGAGAGCTTTATCACAAGAAACGGAATTTGTAGATTTTTTACTTAAAGTTGTCAATGGTGAATTAAATGATGCAGATAATAATGTTATATTACAAGAACATATTATTCAAAAAAAGAATAGGTACACAAAATTTAAAATAAAATTTAATCCTTCAAAGATAAAATGTTTTTAATAACTATGTGTGTATCTTTAGAGTAATATTAAAAACTTTTCGGTGTAAAACATTTCCATTTTTAATAGCAGAAAGAAAAGGGGCGTGCGTAGCGCGCAAAAATAGTGACTAGTGTTATTTAAACAAATTAAGTTAACAAATGAACTGTTCATTTGTTTTGAAGTTAAAAAGTCATGGTTTTTTTCTAATTCTGTTAAAATTATGTTACCAACAATATTTTAATAATTTTCTTTCATAAGTAATCATCGTTTTATGTTGTAAACAAATTGAATTAACAAATTGAATTGTTCATTTGTTTATACCCACAAAGCACAGTATTTTTCTGCAAGTTTGCAGCAAACTTGCATACAAATAAAAATGTCACCCTCTTGCCAAGTTTGCAATGAAAACTTGAGGAAAATTTGCAGCAAACTTTCTAAAATACCTAAAAAAAATTTCAAATTGCATATATTTTGATGAACAATGCCTTCTCTGTAATGAAGGTGACTAAAATATAGTGCGCAGCTCTAGATAAACTACTGCGCATACATTTAAGTTTTTGCTATTTGGCGCAAGTTTGCTACAAACTTGCAGTGCAAACTTGCCAAGTGGGTGACATTTTTATATTTATGCAAACTTGTCAAATGATTACTTATAAGTAATCATTTGACTATGCTATATAAACAAACTCTTCACTTGATTATTAGACGAAATGGCTATGAAAAATGTCTATAAACATATTATTGGTAACATAATTTTAAAACGCTTAAAAAAGATGTCATTTTGAATACCTACAAAGCACATACATTTTCTGCAAGTTTTCCATGCAAATTTCGCAAGTTTGCAGCAAACTTGCATAAATATAAAAATGTCACCCACTTAGCAAGTTTGCACTGCAAGTTTGTATCAAACTTGCCCTAAATAGCAAAAACTTAAATGTATGCGCAGTAGTGTACTATGACATCTAGAGCTGCGCACTATATTTTAGTCACCTTTCCTACAGGGAGGTGACATTTTTATTTGTATGCAAGTTTGCTGCAAACTTCGATGCAAACTTGCGAACTTTGCATGGAAAACTTGCAGAAAAATACTCAAGATTTAAACAATGTCGAGTAGAAACAAATTTTTTCCAAATACACTACCGTCCACAAGTATCAGGACGATTACACGCGACTCTATAAAAAAACATGCCATCACTTTTTCAATCATATCTCGTAAATAAAAGGAGATACAAAAAAAACTTAAATACGGTTAGAAAGCTGATTAAATTCTGCGTAAAATAAGCTATCTTTGAAGTAATTTCGTTAACTATTTTGTGAGTTGTAGAGTGAGAAAGAAATAAAAAAATTATCAAATTTTTTCATTTTTATCTCTTGACTTCAACTTTTTCAAAAATCTAAAAAAATTTAGATAAAAGTTTTTTAAAAACACAGAAATCTTCGTTAGAATTTCAGCTTTGAAATAAGCCTTCGAAAATTAAAAAAGGTTAATCCGTCTTCGATATATCATTAAAAATGTGAAGCCGAGTTTTGACGATTGGTGCATTGGAATTTAACTGTGACAACTCGATTCTTGCTTCCCGTGTCTGCGAATGGGAGAGAAAACAGGGACGGATTTATGCTGGGGAATAATAAATAATGATGTTTCACGAGTAATATAAAGAAACTCTAAAGTTCATCGTTCCCACGCATGAATTCGTCCTGCTTTCTCTCTCATTCGCTGCCGCGCAAAGCCAGAATCGAGTTGTCACAGTTGAATTTCAATGCACCAATCGGTCGAAACACGGCTTTACATTTTATATCTTCTTTTATTTACGAGATGTGATTGAAAAAGTGATGGCATGTTTTTTTATAGAGTCGCGTGTAACCGTCCTGATACTCGTAGACGGTAGAGTACATATAAGAAGAAAAGCTATTGAAGTCATCATTTATTTGTTATTTGCATTAAAATAATAATAATAAAAATTCGAAATTCAAAAAAGTGCCTCTTTAAATTTTTTAAAAATTTATTTTTGAGTATTTTAAAAAAATTTCGACAAAATCTATGGGCTGTACACTTCTTTAAACAGGAAATTGGAGATTCAGACCACGCGGCGCAACGCGTAATATCCGCTCGCTAACGTGACGCGCTATATTCAATATTTAATTTCTCGAAAACAAAAAAACGGTTTTCTGTAAATTAAGTATTTTTTGGGAAAAAACCTTAGATTTCCAATAAAAATAAAATTAAAAAAAACAAGCCCGAAGATGAAAAAATTTGAATTTTATTTTCAAAAATTTTTGTCAAAATCAAAAATTTATGTAAAGTGGACTACGGCAATCGAAAGCTGATGAAAAAATCTAAACAAACCATTTTCGAAAACTATTCTTCATTGTTTAATTTAAAATTAATAAATAAATGAAGTAGTGCGTGTCGCATCAAAACTCAAAACTTTTACCCCCTCCCCTTCTGGTACTTTTTGATAAAATTCAAAAATATTTGTCAAAAAATTACTAACGTATAGGACAACTCATAAAAAAATTAGGAATTGATTAATCAACATTTTTATTTTGGTTGGACATTTGACGTGAAATCCGCCAAATGCTAATATTCTGTACGTTTACTTAAGTGCTTATACCTTCTATGTTTTCAGTTCAATTTTGATTGACAATAGCTTAAAAACGTAAACACGTTTTTTGTTACGTAATTTATTGAAAAAATCAATCATTTTCTAAAATTTTGTTAAAAATAATGAGAAATTTCAAACAAATTCATAAATAATTGCTCCTAAACCGTCAGTCCAATGAGAGCGTTCACAAATGATGTCACGTTTTTTGGGGGTGGGGAGGTCTCTTCTAAACGTGACACAATGTATTTTAAAGGTACTTTCTCACCTCTACTGCCTGCCTGCCTGCCTGCGCAGGCAGGCGCAATGAGAGTGAGGGAAAAAACATTTAATTTGAATTTTCTGACTCTCTTACTCTTATGTGTTACCATGACGACCTGCAGGCAGGCAGGTAGTAGAGCTGTGCAAGCGCCTTTACATGTGAAATTGCATGTAATTGAGTGACAGGGGGAGGGGGGATCTAAAATCCTGAAAAATTGCGTGACATCATTTGTGAACCAATATCTGACTTCATATTCGGATTCGGGAGCAACTTTTACATAAGAAATGACAGTGAAATGCTGCGGCACTTCAGAAATTTTTTGTAATTTTGTAAACTAGTATTATTGGTTTTTTAAAGTATAGCATTACAATTTTTAGACATCAAATTTTGAAGAATTTCAAATGCAATTTTTAAATATATATAAATTCTCAAAAATTATAATAAAAAGTATCAAATTAGAAAATTTCAAAATGAAAATTTATAAAAATTAGCTTCTAAAAATTCATATTAAAATATTTTTAAGACATTAATTCTTTGAATTTTTCTATTATAAACTTATCATTTCAATTCTTTAAAATTTTTCAATTACATATTATTAAAAATTCAAATTTTTTAAAAAATCAAATGTTTTAAATTATTGAAAAATTTTGAAGAAAACAATTATTTTCTAAAATTTTAATTAATATTAGGTTAGTTAGATGTTTAAATTAGTTTCGACCAGAATTTTTAAATTAAATGATATAATGTTACTTATTTTTGCTTTCTCGTGGAGGAAGCAAATACATCCTGAACAATTGTTCGGATGTATGTGTGTGTGGATCGCGTTATTTGTGAACACGATAACTAGAAGAGGTTTTAATAATGATAAATTATTAAGATACCTTTACTCTTGTGCCTCGTGGGCAAATCTTTTGGTAAATCGAGATTTCTCACGATTCGCTTAATATCGTTGACCCTCTCCTTAACTTTGTCCTGATGCGCCGTTAGATGTGAAGTGACGAAAAGAAAACTCGTGCCAAAAATAATCAACGCCAATGCAACGGCGCCCTTAGTGCGAAAAGCACTTCCTGTTCGAGTTGAAAAACTATCCTCCTCAGGAATCGAGCAAAACCAAATGAGATCTCTACGAATGAATAGTGCCAAATGCAATGTACCAAGACCTGCACTCGACAATAATACATGCGACGGTCCCAACGTCTCTTGCAATGATGCCTCCCATTCTGTTCGCTCTGAACACGATTCCTGTGTTCCAATTACAAGCATATCAGGCACTGTCTCAATATCAGGTGGTAGCATAAAATCATTCAGTTCCTTGGGCGGTGTTTGGCCATTCATATTCCACGTGCCTATGAATATTTTAATCTCTCTATTTGGCAATACTTTTTCCAATTCCACTGGTCCCAAAAGTGAATTGGCCGCAATTCTTCCGTGCAAATAATTTCTGCAAATTAAAATTTATTGGTATCAATTTTCTCAAAAAAACTTTCCTTTCCTTTTTTTAATTTTAGTTCATTAATTTTAATTGTTGTTATAATTAATTGTAAATTGCAGGAAACATTTTCCACAAAAAATTTTAATAAAATTTTTTGAAAGACTTAAATTATTTTCTAAAATTTGAATAAAATTCTTCTCAGGAATTCAATTATTTTCAATGCAATTTTAATAGAAATTTAAACATTTTAACATTTTTCGAAAGACTTCAATTATTTTCAAAAAATTTTAATAAAGATCATTAGGGTCAGTTGGGGTAAATCGAAACGGTAGTTATTTTAGTTAAATAAAAAATTTTAAAAATAATTACGGCCTTAAACCTCGAACCTTAGATTACCCCCAACAGGTTCTAAGTATTTTCCCATTTTCCGTTTGTCAATTAGCAGCAGTATATACAAAAATATTTCCTACACTGCAAAAAATGGCGTCTAAAAATAAGACGTTTAGACGTTTATAAACGTATTATGTAAATAAGCGTCTTATTTGAGCGTCTTAAATGAAAAACATAACCTCCAAATACATGCATTTTAGAAGGCAAATAAGACGCTTATAAATGTCTAAAATGTGACCACGTAAACGTCTTAAACCAAGACGCTCTTTTTTACAGTGTATTGACTCGCATTTGAAAAAAAATTAACTAAAAATTAATATTAAAATTTATATTATCTCTTATTGATACTACAACAAAAATCAACTTTAATTTTTTTATTTTGCAAACTTTAATTAAAAATAGGAGACTGTTTCTATTTACCCCTAACAACTGGAAATTCGGGGTAAATAGAAACAGAATAATTTCAACAATATTTCTTATAATAGAAAGAGAGAAAATTGTTTCTATCAAACTACAACACTATTTTCAGCATTATATAAGAGAATGAGAGAGAATAGAAGAGCAAAAGAGAGAACAAACCTTTATTTGTGTATAATGTGTTTCATCTTTTGGCTTTAAACCCCGACTTTTTTTTAGAAAAGTGAAATTTTCTTCAATTTTTTGACCGACATTTTTATTTTAAAAAACTGACATCGGATTTGTAATCAGCGACCTCAAAACCCCTCAAGTAGTCATTTTCATTAGCTTAGCCCTATTTAATTTTCGATTTTGTAATTTTGTTGTAAATCTTGCCATAAACATTCTTTTTTTATTATTGTTAGAATTAAAAAATTGTTAATTCTTTATTGTACTATAAATTTTTTTGTTTTTAAAAAAGAAAAAACTCAACTCTGTCACCCTCAAATTGATATTTAGAATTGCAAAAGAAATTCTTCTATTGAAGATTGAATTTCCGGGAAATAAAATTAATGATAATTTAGAAAAATTAAAGGTTGAGATTAAACGAATATGAAGTCTACAAGTCTTGCAAACATTATTTCTTTTCGTTTTTCTTGTTTTTGTTTCTTTCCTTTTCCAAAGTTTATTTTTTTAATCACCTTTCTCGGGCCTTGTGCATTGGAAGCAAAACCTGCGCAGCAAGTAGTGCTTGTTTAGCGAGACTGTCCATGGAGGCCCCATCAGTTTGAAGTAGACGACGAGCTTTGGAGCTCGTCAACGTATCATGAGAAGTGGATCTTGGTTTCTGATGAAGCGGAGCACTTCTAATTGACTCCGGACTCGAATGACGTGCCGAATTCGTGGGCGACTTGACAACCAAATTATCGACCGATCTCCGGTGCAAAATTTTCTTTCTGAGATGCGCTGGAATGTTGGGAGAAGTTGAACCAGAAGATGAATTTTCTACATTAAAAAAAGAATAATTTTCTATTAAAAACAGTAATTAATAAGAATTAGAATATTTTCAGTTTCTCTCTATTTTTAGTCGGATTTATTCAGAATTTTAAATTTCCTCACTATGTCACTTAATACTAATAAAATGAAATTACATACTTCAATTGCTTAATATATGCATATACATATAGTTTATACTTTAATGAGATTTGATTTCCCTTATTTTAAAATGCTTAAAAATAGAGCAATATGTCATAAAATTAATAAGTACGATAATTAGGTAACTAATTAGTAAATAATAACAATAATTAAATAATAATAATACTAAAATTATTTTATTGTACCTAATATTATTAAATTAACAAATCAAGACTACATACTCTTGTAAAACTTTAAATTTACACTATTAATTTAACAAATTTTTACATTAAAGATTGAAAATAAATATTTTTTAGAAAAAAAAATATTTTTGAATTACTGAGATCAAAAAACATTGAAATGGATAAAATATCATGGATAATCATAATTGAAAATTTTTATTACAACAAAGTTTTTTACAAGGAAACAACATGAATTAAGAATTAGAAATAATATGAATAATGAAAAGATATAATGAAAAGATATAAAATAAAAGAAATTTCATTCTCTCACAAAAGTGTCCAGACGCTTTTACCTTAAAAAACTTTTAATCAACAAAAAACAAAAAATGCTTCTTTTCTTTTAAAAAACTTGAATAATTTTTTGTTAAATAAATATGTAAATACAAAAATATTTAAATTAAATTAAGTTTTAATTCAATATTTAAAATATTTAAATTCTAATGTATTCCTCAACAGCCCGTGTGGAAAAAGCCCCCATCAAGCACACACGACGTGAGGGCCCCCGGCGGGGGCCGACGAGGGCTGATCCATGTGGGCAAATCCATGAGGGCCACACCGAGGGGCCGCATGGATTGCCCACATCATTGACTTGCAAAAATTTCTAAGTCCAAACCTCAAATAATTTTTTATTACTTCAAAATTAATGTTTAGAATGATTATAAACAATGAAAAACACATATTTCACATAAAATTATTTACATTTTTTTGAAAATATTGAACTCACATGGGGGCAAATCCTTGAGGGCCCACACGAGGGGCCCGCATGGATCGCCAACATCATTTACTAGCAAAAATTTCTAAGTCCTAGTGCAATTCCACGTCACTTCGACAGTGTTTTGGAGTAAGCAAATGGATTTTAATGAAACTCAGGGATTGTAATCTATATATAAAAAGAAATATTTTCACCAAAAATGAAGTCAAAATATTCGGTACTTTTTGAGATAGCAAAATTTTGAAAAAATTTTGAAATCGTTATATCTCCTATAAAACTTAATAAAAACTAAAGATTTTTACATTCTCATCACATGAGAAAGTATTAGTTTTGGTCGAAAATTGACTTTTTCTAATTTTATGAAATCTTTACGTTTTGTGGTCCCCTGAACCCGAAAAACATGGTCCGGCGAGTCCGTCTGTCTGTATGTATGTATGTATGTCCGTCTGTAGACCAAAATGTTGTTGACACAATAACTTTTGAAAATCTTATCTGATCGTTTTTAAATTTAACACACTTAAAGTTTGTGTAAAAATGAAGGTTAAGTTCGTTAACCAGCCATTTTCGTTAAAAACTACAAAAACTACGGTAGTTTCAAAATTTTGAAAACTCAATTTTTTCAAAATTTTTAACTTTATTTTATTTTATATTAGGAAAAAACAAACAACTTTTCTCTATAACATTTTTTCATAAAAACTCAATTTTCGAAGTTATAGTCTCCTAAATGGTCAAAAAAACTAAAAAAATCCTAAAATATCTCTGAAAATCGAACTTTTTTAAAGAAGTAAGAGTCAGTCAATTGATTTTGACATATTCTCACCCTAAAATACTTGAAAAACATACTTGTACACAAAAAAGTCGTAATTTCCGGAAAAACCACTCTATATATGTATATATTTTTTGTGCGCTTTTTTTGACAAAAAATCAATATTCCGACTCCATTATCTTTATTATCATTATCATTATTTTGCTTTTTTTTTATTTTTATTTTGCATTTTATTTTTGACATTATTGCATATGCGATTTTGCTACCAGAGATTTTTCTTCTCAGCTTTGTATCAGCTACAGCTTTGCTGTTGACAGCTTTTTGCCAAACCCTAACCTTTTCGAGTTATTTAAAAAAAAAACTAATTTTTATTACATTCTCATCACATGAGAAAGTATTAGTTTTGGTCGAAAATTGACTTTTGTTAATTTTATGAAATCTTTACGTTTTGGGGTCCCCTGAACCCGAAAAACATGGTCCGGCGAGTCCGTCTGTCTGTGTGTCTGTCAGTCTGTCTGTATGTATGTCCGTCTGTAGACCAAAATGTTGTAGACATCCGCGAAGCGCGGATGAGAATGTGTCCACCCGAAGGGCGGGCAGATTTTTAAAAAAAAAAATTCAGGATGAAAAAACGAAAAAAAATGTTAATAATGTTTATATAAAATTTTGTTAATTAAAAAAGTTATTTAAATAATTCTATTTAACTTTTAAGCGGCCAGTTCAAATTCTATTGTTTAAAGAGAAAAATTAACTGGATTGTTTAATATTTAATATTCCAAAAGAAAATTTATATACCACCAAGAAATTTTCAAGTTATTAAACATTTTATTTTGCTCTCAAACAATATTACATACAACAAACAGACGACATAGGCTGCGCGCGCAATTTTCGTCTGGTCTTAGAAAAAATGTCTTCCTCTAAATCAGACGAAAGATGCGCGCGCAGCCTATGTCGTCTGTTTGTTGTATGTAATATTGTTTGAGAGCAAAATAAAATGTTTAATAACTTGAAAATGTCTTGGTGGTATATAAATTTTCTTTTGGAATATTAAACATAACAAAAATTAGCGATTATAATGATTTTAAACAATGAAGAACACTTTTCTTGTTATGGTGTATTAGTGTCAACAATGTTTTATTGTATCATCAAAAGCAAGTCTGCAAGTCACCAACAATAAATAAATAATTTCACCCCGAAGCGCAGGCCACATGACATTCTAGGAATTATTAATCCCCTGATTCTTTAGTTAATGTCGATGGGGTCCGGCACGTTCGCGGAGAATAGCAAATTATAATGATTAGGAAGACTTAATTTTCAAAACTGCGATAAGTATATAATTGTAATAACAACCCTACTCAAAAAGAACGACTGTAAATACACAGGAAAAAAAGTCTGACTCCGTTTACACCTTAAATTCAGCCCATGTATTTCACATAAGTCTGTCCTTGTTTAACGGGGCTGACTCCGTTTACATCTTAAATTCAGCCTCAAAAAGAGGCTGAAAGTAAAACTTTTTTTTAGTGTGTACGAGCGTAAATATGGCTGTGAATACGACCCTAAATACGGGCCTTAGTAGGGTAGTGTAATTGAAACAGTATATACAGCCGTATTTATGCCCGTATTTAGGGTCGTATTTACGGTCATATATGAATACCATTTTTTTAAAAAAATATATATATACCCCCACAGCACCGAAACTTTCCTAAAAATTTATTAAATATTTAATTGCAATTAAATATTTTACATTGAAATTACATATTCCGAACATTGCAAGTCAAGAGCTGAACGTAAACGTCCAGGCTGTGTTGGCATGGTGCATTGGTAGGCGTTAGTCCCGCGAAAGGCAGCTATTAACTGGGGTTCGAGTCCTCACAGATGCACAGTGCAGTCGTTCACGCAGCTTATTTTTTCAGATCAAAAATTAAATTCAAAAATATAATTATATACCGACAACCATATCGGAATAATTATCTTAAGAATAACACCTGACTCTAAACCAAAGAGTTCAATCGACGTCTAATAGATGTCACTAATTGCTGATATAGTCGAAATCTTCCTTAATTGTTATTCAAATAGTTAAAAATTCCGAAAACGTGCTGTGTGAAAAGTTGTAACAAGAAGAAAGATAAACACAACACTATGACTATTACTTTTTGTTAACTTTTAATACACTTCATGCTACAGTTTACACATTTTTTTGGTTTTAAAACTTTTTTTTAATAACTAAAAGATGTTTAAAAATATAAATTTTTATATTTCATATTGTATTTGTATAGAATATATTTTCCCGTGTTTACGTGTTTAGATGCGCAGAAGTCCATGTGGTCTATTGCGGCGAAAACTTTTTTGAAAGTAAACGCCCGACCATACATCAGCTGAGTGATTCAGCATTGCCATACCCTCACTACCGAAGTTTTACCTCCTGTCTCTAGTCTTCTTGATATATATATATATATATATATATATATATATATATATATATATAGGGTAATGTCACATTGAGTGGACCGCCACTTTAAGTGGACCACCTGAGCTTTTAAGTTATCTGACAGCGGAAACGTGAAATAAATAAAACGAATAGCAGCACCGCACCTAGAAACCGTAAGAAATTATGTTCCGCGATAATCATATACGTTATCGTCTGATGTAACGCATTTTTAAGAACACAAACCAAAAAAGAAGTCGCTCTTACAATGAGTAAAGTGATTCGGAAGCGTAAAAGTAGTGTAAAATTTAAGTTTTAAAAGGTAACTTATTTTTTTCCTACTACTTTGGGCATTGAAATTGATTGTCTTAGTTTAATTAAGTGGTAATTTTGACTAAAAAAAAATTGTGGTGGCTGCCATAAAAAGTTGCATGTCACCATGAATGGACCACTGTTTATAACTATGAGTAAACTGCCTGTTTTTTATATTTTTAATGTCAGTTTACCATTTTTATGGAAATAAATTGACAATAAATTGGTTTGAAACTATGTTTTATGTTCTTTATTAATTTTTTTGTGATTTTGATTTGATATGTGCCAAAATTATTAAAACTGGTTTCACTTGTAAACATTGCGACACAATCATGGTCTGAAGCTGCATAAGCATAAATTTTGTTTTAATTTATCAGAAATATTAAATACATTAAAGAATTTAGAATAACTTTT